CACACACTGCAGCCCCCCCCTTGCTTTCCCCCACACTGCAAACCCCTGGATTTCCTGTACACTACATCTAGATTTGCTGCACACTGCACCCCCCGGATTTCCCACACACTGCATCTAGCTTTCCCACACACTGTATCCCCCTGGATTTGCTGCACACCCCTGGATTTCCCACACACTGCATCTAAATTTCCCCCACACTGCGCGTGCACACACACGGATTTCCTGCACACGGCACCTTGCACCCTGGAGCCAAAGCGAGCACAGCGGCTGTTTAGTAACAACCTTGGCTAATGCAGGGTGGTATCCTGCCAGGAGGGTCACATTTTTCCATCCTTTCTGCAGCTGCCTCGCCCCGTGCTGTCAGCCCAGCTGAGGGGCCAGGGACACGCCTGGGCATTTGTCCCCCACCCCAAAACACTCTGCTCCGAGCTAAAGCAAGTGCCTGCATCGCAAGCACACACCGAGGGACTCGCCGCCTACGGCACCCGCCAGCCACATGCCCCCTCTGATCACGGGCTTTCAGGGGGGCTGACCCCCACCCCCGCCCCCATGTTCTGCACCTCTGTCTCCTGGGCCCATGCTAGGCAGCTGCCACGCTCAGCCCAGCCTCCCTGCAGCCAGCTGACCCACTTCACAGTGCGGCGTTCGACGTAGCGTGGCACGGCGAGGAACCGGGGGCAGGTTGCAGCTGGCGCGCTCTGTGTCTGCCATCTGAGCAGGGCAGCCCACCCGCCGGGGGCCTGGCAGCAGTGTAATTACTGGACATGCTCGTAGGGCAGCGAGGGGTGACCAAGGCCAGTGAGTGGGCCACACGAGTGGCCATCCTTCCTCACCAAGGGCCATGAGGCTGTTGTCACCGTGGCTGTCTCCTGGCACAGGGTAGTTTTGCTAAGGGCGCTTGTGTGCCTACAATGTGCAGGTGGTGCCGATCAGTCGGCGAAAACCGACCCAGCCGAATCCGTTCACCTTGCACCGGGCCACCCGTCAACAAAATGCCTCGCGGGCCCCACAGGGCGCCCCGATGGGCCATGCTGCCCCCCACAGCTGTCGAGGAAGTTTTCATTGAGGGCAAACCACCTGACGGGCCACTCACAGACACTTGTGAGAGCTCAGCCAATCAGAGCACGGGGGGAGGGGTTAGGGTATAAATAAGGAGACCGCCCTCTTGGGGAGATGTTTGCTGGGCGGCGTCAGGACCAGTGTGGATGCAGGTGAGTGCGATCCAGCTTTTCCGAGGGTTGCCCTCCATTCAGATGTGCTTTGATCAGGGCGGTGTTTACGGACCCGGCAGGTGGGGCGGGGCACTGTCACCCAGAGAGGCCGCCACGTCTGGGGCCCTCTCTGCAGCCATCCACTGATTGCTTGCCACGGTGCTTCTGTCCGCACTCAGCTGACCACGGGCAGATCTGAGGCCACGGGGAATTTGTACGGTCTTCCCTCGCGGGCTGGGCTTGGGGGGCGCGAGCAGCGAGCGAGCCTGTCGGAACTACGGGATGTGGTTATGTTACATGCTGAAGCTGGCCCACACGCCACGTGGCATAGGGCAGGTGTGGTTCACCAGCCCCTAAGGACCAGTCCGTCCGCACTCAGCTGACCACGGGCAGATCTGAGGCCACGGGGAATTTGTACGGTCTTCCCTCGCGGGCTGGGCTTGGGGGGCGCGAGCAGCGAGCGAGCCTGTCGGAACTACGGGATGTGGTTATGTTACATGCTGAAGCTGGCCCACACGCCACGTGGCATAGGGCAGGTGTGGTTCACCAGCCCCTAAGGACCAGTCCGCTGTAGCTGGGCTAGCTGCAGACACCCCAGCCTGGTTGCTGGCAGGGTTTGAAAGGGCTGAGCTGCTGTGGGTCTCCCCAGGCTCTGGAGTTCAGGGGATGCACACCATGTCAGATGGTCGCTCTGCAAAGCCTGAGAACCCCTCTGGGACAGGCCGGGGGGCAATGGGTTTCTAGGGGGTACTGCCATAGAGCAGTATAGCTGCTATGAGCCAAAGCGTGTGAGAAACGCTAGCAGCTTTCCTGCCTAGCACCTTGAATTGCAAGGCTGTTCTTAGCATCTTATGACCTACAAGGAGAGGCTGAGGGAGTTGGGTTTGGTTAGTCTGCAGAAGAGAAGAGTGAGGGGGGATTTGATAGCAGCCTTCAACTTCCTGAAGGGAGGTTCCAAAGAGGCTGGAGAGAGGCTGTTCTCAGTGGGGGCAGGTGGCAGAACAAGGAGCAATGGTCTCAAGTTGCGGTGGGAGAGGTCCAGGTTGGATATTAGAAAAACTATTTCCCTAGGAGGGTGGGGAAGCCCTGGGATGGGTTCCCTAGGGAGGGGGTGGAATCTCCATCCCTAGAGGTTTTTAAGTCCCAGCTTGACAAAGCCCTGGCTGGGTTGATTGAGTTGGGGTTGGTCCTGCCTTGGGCAGGGGGCCGGACGTCTCTGCCAGCCCTAGGAGTCTGTGATCTTGCTGTAACTTAGCATTGCCTGGCGTTCCGGGGCTAGTGTGACAGGCATTCCGCGTTTGGTTCCTAAGAAGCTGCGTTTGCAGCCTGTTGCTCCCAGGATTGGGAAGGGGCAGGGTGGATGAGGTCAGATCTTTTCTTGGACCTGCCGCTGCGGGCGAGAGAGAGCAGCTTTTGTGCTTGCGAAGGGCTCTGTGCGGACACAGAGCGCCGGTCTGACGGGGAGCTCCAAGTCCTCGAAACTTCGTCTCTTTCACAAACAGAAATGGGCCCGATTGAACAGCAATGAATCCTTGCCTCTGCTCGGCCCCACAGGCTGCCTGTGGTGTCGCTCTGGCGCTCCAGGGTGGGAAAAGTCGGTTTGCCGCTGTTCTGGGCTGTCCCAGGCTGCTGGGCCCAATACCTGGCCCTAATCCAGCGCCCGGTATCCAATGAAGGCTGCAGCCTTGGCTAGCTTGGTGTCAGCCCCAGAGCCTGCACCCCTGGCGCTCCGGGGCACTGCCCGAGACAAGTGGCCAGATATCCCTGCCAACAGGTGGGCAATGCTGCCCACCCCTGAAAGAGTGAAGTGAGCCGTGCCCAGACGCCGAGGTGATGGGCACAATGGGCGTGCCTGCCGTAGAATGCCTCTGGGGCTAAGACGAGGCCCGCACACGAGCAAGGCCCTGCCCTGTGACATGACCTTGCAGGTCACTGGGCCAGAGCCATCTGGCTAGTCTGCAGATGGGGCTCGGGAGCATGGGCCTGTCTTGGGACTGATGGAGGGAGGCACTGGAGGCCAAGACCTGGGGGGTGGGCGGGGTTTGGCATGGTGGGCGTGGCTTCTTAATGGTTAGGTCTTGTGGGTGGGTGGAGCTTAGAATGTTGGCCTGTCTTGAATGGTGGGTTTTAACTTGCGGCCATATGACTATGGGCGGGGCTTGGAGTTGTGGGTGGGGCATAGTTAAAGCACCTCCCACGTTTCCTCCCCTGCTACCCACTGAGAGGGGCTCGCTGGCCCGTGGCCTTTTGGCCTGTTGTGTTTTGCTTTGCCTTTGCCTATGACAGATCTGTGCTTGTAGCCAGCTCCCCTTCCGGCTCTGCTCTCCCGTCTGGGGAGCACCATCCCCCCGCGGGCCCGTGGCCCGGCTTCCATGGGCATTTGTCTGTCTCCCGCGGGGAAGCCTGCACTGCCCTCTGTGCAACCTTTCCGAAGCCGGGGGGGAGTGGTGCAGGGGCCGGGGGGAGGGGGTAACATCCAGGGCCTAATCGTCTTAAGCCCCCGGATTCTCTTCTGGGAACCCTAAAGCAAAGCAGGCACAAAATGCTCATTCACGGCAACAGCTGTCGAGCCAGACACAATCGAGCCGCCCCTCTGATCTCAGCCAGCAACTGTCCCATCAGAGCCCCAGGGAGGGGGGGGGGAGTGGTGCAGGGGCCGGGGGGAGGGGGTAACATCCAGGGCCTAATCGTCTTAAGCCCCCGGATTCTCTTCTGGGAACCCTAAAGCAAAGCAGGCACAAAATGCTCATTCACGGCAACAGCTGTCGAGCCAGACACAATCGAGCCGCCCCTCTGATCTCAGCCAGCAACTGTCCCATCAGAGCCCCAGGGAGGGGGGCTGATCTGCAGGGGGAGGGGCTGATCTGGGCGGGAGAGGGGGCTGGGTCCCTTGCATGCAGCTGGGATCAGGTGCGGGTTGGGGAGGGTCTCTCCTTCAGCCCCCTTCCTTGGCAGCCCCCCGGGGCTGGAGTCGGGGGCTGCGCTGACGTGGAGGGGGCGTGGTGGGTGTTTTCCGGCCGAGAGCCGAGCCCCCAGGGCAGCGGGTCAGGACGACAGGCAGCCCGGGGTTGGCTGGGGCAGCCCTTCCAGCCTCCCAGGGCTCCCCGAGGCTCGCAGACGGGTGGGTAGGAGACCTCTGGCCTTGCAGGAAGTGAGGGGCTGGGGGGATTGGTAGGTGCTGCTCTGGTCTGTCAATTTCACTGTCCCACTAGCCCGGCCTGGGTGGCTCGGTGTTACTTCCCCCTTGGCCCTTCTTGTCCTGGCTAAATTCCCATTTGTACCCAGCCGGATTTCTCCCTTGCCCTGGGGGCCCTGACCCCCAAGCCCAGAACCACGTGGGGGGAGGTTGGTTCCTTGGCTCCCTTGCTCCTAGGTCAGGCTTTGGGGGACTGAGCAGACGGGCGCCCTTGTGCTACCTGGGGCCGGGATCTGTCCTGGAATCCCCTAGGTCCCCTCGGCCACAGCCCTGGCCTCCACGCTCCGAGAGCAGAAAGGCGCCCGCCGGAGCTGGGCTGTGCGCCGGGAGACGAGGCACGGGTGTGGGCTGCTCTGGAAGGGGGCAGGAGCCCATGTGCCCCCCCAGGCTGAGGGGCAGTGTTAATGGAAAGGCAGAGAAGGCTCAGCCACGCTTGGGGGGTCCACACCTGTGAGAACAAAGGGGGCAGAACCTGGGGCTGCCCTGGCCACACCCCTTCCTGCCCCCCCTTTGCCACCCTCCCCCCAGCCGGTGCTGGAGCCGGCCTTGCTCCGCAGCTGGGCAGGCGCCTCCCCAGGAAGCAGCTTTGCACCCGCGCCGCTGTGAAGTCCTCAGAAACCAGTGGGGAGATTCCCAGCCCTGGGACCCCCCCCCTGGGTCCTGCCAGAGCCTGGAGGGGGTTCCCTGCCCTCTGCAGAGCCGATGGCCCAGCGGACCCC